TTCTCCACTCCTCGAGGGGGCAGCCGCCGCCCTGCGCAGCGCCGTCCCGCGGGCGCAGTCGCCAGCGGGAGGGTGGGCCACTGGCACGAGAGGGGCCGCCGCTCCGAGGCCCATCCACAGGCTTCTTGAGGGCTCGACTGGGCGCTGCCACGACTCGCCCCCTACCGTACCGGCGAACAGAGGGCGGTTGGAAGTCGATGCCATCCCCTCTGAGACCGTCCCATCCTCGTCGTCTGAACTTCGGGCCACAACTCGGGTCTTCAGCGGCCCTTCTTCGCGGCTGTCTGAGCACCCCCGGAAGGCTCTCGGCCGAGGCGCAGCTGCTGGAAAGCACCACGGATGTGGAAAAGCGCCTGGAAGCGGCACTAACGTCCGAAAGCCTCCGGCCGATGCCCGCCCTGAAAAACCTGTCCCTCTAGCTCTCGCTCTGGACAGCCGCCGCAGCAAAGGGCTCCTCCCCGCAGGGGGCCCGCGCCGAGAAAAACACGACAACAGTGGAGAAAAAACGCAGCCCAGCCAGGGCCCCCTCCACCGGCGCAGCGCCGCTCTGGAAGCGGGGCGCAGGGGAGGACAAAGGGGCAGGGAGGAGGAAGAGGAGGAGGGGGAGGAGGAGGATGGGACTTCCCTCCTCCCTCCTCCCTCCTTCCTCTTCCTCCTCCGCCCCCCCTCCTCTCCTTCCAGTTCAGCTCCTGCTGCTTCTGCACGCAGCTTCCTTTTTCTGTCAGAGTGCGCATGGCGACGCGGCCAGGCCGTTTTGTTTTATTCCAAATCCACTACGACACGCGTCCGCGGATAGAGGAACATCCGGCGTCATGGGAAGGCATGGGTGGGAGGGGTGAGGGGTAGGGTGTCAGAAATGGCGCGAGCGCACATACCTTGATATACATACCGCTCCCGTATATACCATTGAAGCGTCTGGAAGATAGACGGTTCCATCAGCGTATTGTTTGCACAAGCCTGGTTTCAAACATTGGTGTGTGTCCCACGGGTGATGACAATCCGTTTGTTCTCGGTCCTTCAGAATGCTGCTCCCACTGAAGCGTGTGCTGCATTTTCGGAAAATGCGATTTGCTCCTCTTGTTCGGAATGGCACGCTCGCCCCAGCGCGCGCCACTTTTCTGGATCCGAGTCCTTCCTCATCGTTGTCGCTCCGTTCCTTTCTTCCCCCCCGCCTTTCCCAGACCGTCCTGCTCCTCCCGCCTCTTCAATTCCAGCCGCTGCTGCAGCTGCTGTTCGTCATCTTCCTCCTCCGTCCTCCTCCTCCTGTTTCTCCTCCTTCCCTTCCTCCTCCGCTTCCTCCTGTTCATCCGCCCCCACCTCCCTCCTCCTCCTCGTCCATAGAGCGCAGCATCATTTTCCCGATTGCGCATGACACGATGGGGTCCCTTTGGGATTCCCAGGTCCGCTATGATATGCGTCCGCGGACAACAGAAAATCTGCGACATGGGAAGGGATGGGTGAGAGAGGTAAGATGTCAGATCTGGCGCGGGCGCGCCTACCTCCCCCCTCTCTCTCCCCCCCCTCCCTCCTCCTTCCCACCTTTATCCTTCTCACTCCTCCTCCCTCCTCCTCCTCCTCATCATCCTCCTCCTGCTCCTCCTCCTCCTCCTCCTCCTCCTCCTCCTCTCTCTCCTCCTCCTCCTCTCCTCCTCCCTCCTCCTCCTCCTCCTCTCTCCTCCCCTCCCTCCGCCTCCTCCTCTTCCTCGTCGGCGTCCTCCTCTCCTCCTCCTCCTCATCCTCCTCCTCCTCCTCCTCCTCCGTCTCCGTCTCCTCCTCCTCCTCCTCTTTCCTCCTTCCCCCTTCCTCGTGTTCCTCCTCCTCCTCCTTCCTCCTCCCTCATTTTCCTCTTCCTCCTCCTACTCCTCCTTTTCCTCCGCATCATCATCATCATCATCATCATCATCATCATCATCATCATCATCATCATCAGCATCATCATCAGCAGCATCATCATCAGCGTCATCATCATCAGCATCATCATCATCACCTTTATCTTTATATTTATCTTTATCATCATCATCATCATAATCATCATCAGCATCAGCATCAGCATCAGCATCAGCATCAGCATCATCATCATCATCATCATCATCAGCATCATCATCATCATCATCATAATCTCCCCCAATGTCAAGAACTACTGCCTCCAGGGGGTCTCCCTGCCGGCCGCGGACAGGGAGACCCAGAGCAATGACGAGAGGGAGGAACGCAGCAACCTGGACAGGAGGGGGGAGGAGGAGGAGGAGGACGGGGACCAATGTGAACCCAAGACGCATGATCGAAATTGCCATAGATCCTCCCCCCCCGAAGTCCCCCGATTCATGGGCCACTGCGTATTTGTTTGCGCTGCGGGAGATGTCCCGTTGGAAGGCCACCGCCTGCGAACCCTCAATTGCACTGGAGGCCAAAACGCCATTCCTGGGAGGCCAACGCTGCGAATCAACGTGATCGCTGCGTCCGTACAATCCGAAATGGCCCCAACACGCTTATCCAGGGACATCAACACTGCGAATCAACATGTATGTTGCATCCGGCCAACGAAAATAATGCCAGAAAACAAGTCTCGGGACATCAAGCATACGATCCAATGAAACAGTGCTCAACCTTCAGCTCGAATGCTGGACACAAGAGGCACGTGTTCAAAACAAAGCGGCCGCCATCCTTGAAACTCTTGCCAGCTTGCAGCGCGAATGTGCATGGCGCTGTGGCGAAAGACGCGTTCCGGAAACCGCCCGCCTTCCATCCGTGAGCGAATGACTGCAAGCCGGATGCCGAAGCACAGGGGCAGTGATACGTCACTATCGGCGGTAGTGCCGCGCAGCGGCTTTCAATGCTTCAGCTGGGTATGCGAGGTGTCGCAGGTCGTGCACGGTGCTCTTACATACTCTCTTAGCAAGCTCGTGCATCTGTCTCGACTAAGGCTGATTCGACCTGCACAAGGGGCGCCTGACGGCCGGCGGACGCAGGTGCGAAGAAGACGACAGGAAGACCGCGCGGCACCAGATGATCGCACAGGTGCCAAGCGATCTGCGCAAAAGAACACAACAACAACTTAGCCGTGCAACAAGACTTGATTCAGGGGCGGCCGGCGAGCCCTGCCCAAAACTGCAGCGTTCGATGTGTGCCTGACGTATGAGTGCGGCGCCCGCTGGTCGGAAGAACTAGGTCGGACCACGAAGAAGGCAGATTGGGTTCGGGCCCGCTCAGAAAGAAGCAACAACAAACAACAACACAAGATCGGTTCTTGGAATAGGAAGTCGATTGAAGTAGACTGGGATCTGGGGGTCCAGAAATGACTATTTCAAACGACCAGCGTGTATCCTCAAAGCCTTCCTCAAACGCCTCATGTAGAAAGTGTCGAGTTTGGGGCCAGCTCGCGTTTCCGGAGCCATGCCGCGTGCAAGTCTTACAACAACTTTGTGTGCACGCAGGCTTCGAAGATGCGCACATTCTGCTGCGCAGAGAGGGAAGAACGGTACCAGACTCGGGCCACGGTGTCGACCTCGGACCTGGTGCAGACGAGTCGCCTGCTCAGCTTTGAAGCAAGGGATCCAACAGCCGCCAACACACTTCCCAAATATACCATAGAGTCGTTTTCGGGGATCTGGGCGCTGTCAGGACTCGCCACGCGCCCCTGGCACTGGATTGGCTACAATTCGAGCTTGCCCCAATTGAACAGCTCTCGGGGTAACTGCCAGGGAAGGGCCGCGGTCATCAGCTGAAACTCGCAGTGGATTGCGCCAGAACGTCCAGGATATGTTTCGCCCGTGCCGGCCACGATGTCCTTCCGATATGTTCCGCAGACAGCGGCAACAGAATGCACATGTTCAACTTGAAGCCGTAGTAATGCGGGATGACGATTCGTAAAAAATGAGAGAACGATTAAACAAATAGTTTTCTGCTATTTCTGCATGAATTTTCTGACTGGAGGACGATTGAAAAAAAAGTTGTCCTGCCCGCGGCCGGTTTTTTCCAATCGTCATCCCGGGCGCCGCCGCGTGAACACGACCCCCGGTCATTTATTAATCGTCATCCTCCATTACGCGCCAGCGGCAGTTAAGAGCCTCCACGTACGCCTGCGCACGCTCCGCGCTCGAGGCCCCTCTGCGTCTGCCGTGCGGTCCCTCCGTATGCCCCCGTCGCCGTGCCGCAGCACGGCCGCAATTAACCGTGGCCACGGGGCACGGATTATGTGTTGCATGCTCGGGGGACCTTTTGTCTGTCCCGTCGCAGAAACCGATTCTGCGGACGAGCGAGGCCCCCCGAAGATGCAACGCAACAGGGAGAGAGAAACCACAAAAGACCCTAGACAAACTCCCGCGCGCTACTCGCGGGTCCCCAAACTTGGCACCGGCCTCGCGAGCCACGGATTCTCTGCCCGTGTAGATGGCTCGAACGATGGTCGCAACTTTATCTGGGAGTCCGAGACGCTGCGCTGTTTTCAGTTCGAGAACAGCATGGCGCTACCAAGCACCTTGGCCCAGTCCAGAGCGAGAAGCGCCAGCTGGCCCTCTCTGCTCGCCCACGTCAAGTCCAGCCGCCTCCTGGCGATCCAAATGGAGTCCGTGGCTCCGTGCCGCGATTGAAGCCTAACTGGGAGCCCCAAGTGCGGCCATCGGCGCTGGCGTCTATCGAACAGCAGAGGATAGGGTCGCAAACATCTGGTGCTCCGCCTGGAACAGGCACACTGGGCCTGCAGTGGCCGCAAAGTGTAGCGTTTCCCTTCAAGAAGAAAGCAATCACGAAAGAACTGTGCCAAGAATCTGGAACGGCGCCCTGGTCCCAGCATCACCGGCACGGCACACTGCTCAAGCCCACGTTTTCGCTGGTGTGTCGCGGGTGCAGACCGCTTTCCAGAAGTCGCCCGGGATGCTGTCACTGCCGCGCGCCCTGCCCCACGTCATGTGCTTGGCTGCCTCGGTCACCGCCGAAACCTCGATATGCCCCAAGCTCAGCAAGTCGTCGTCGTGGCCAAGGGAAGTCGTCAACATCGGCGTGGCTTCCCTCTCGGCCCACTACACCTCCGTCAAGAAGTTCGCCAGCGTGTCTGCGCGGGCCTCGGACCCACACAGGTCGCCGTGGAGGTCGCGAAGGTTGCCCTGCTTCCGCGCGGCCGCTTCACGCAAACGCCGTAACTGGTCCCAGCCGCCCGCCGCCAGGAGGTGCTCCAGCCACCCCGGCCCTGTGCGCGCCGGTGGCGCAAGAGGCAGTACCGGCGGCTGTCCTCAAAAGCCAACGCCGGAGTGTCGATGACGTCGACGGCGGAGTCGCCCACGTCAGCGGCCTCCATCTCGTCGCCGGGGGCCGAAGCGCAGCGGTTCTGGCGGTCATAGTGTCCGCAGGTCGGGCCTTGGCGTATGTTTTCGGCAAGCCTCGGTCGACGCCACAGTGTCTACGTCTGCCTGCACGAGGAAGTGGTGGGACGCCAATGCCACATCTCTATTGCTTGCCACCGATTGCACATGGGCAACCCAACGCTGCAAGACCAGAACGAAAACGACCTGGCCGAAATTGTTTGGAGTGGCCGGGTCGGACGCCAATCTTGTAAGGCGAATGCACGCGGCGTCCTGGCAAGAGACACGTTTTGGAAACCACCCTCCCTTCATTCGAAAAACTGCTGCAACATTAAAAGAACGAATGCGCGCGGAGCTAAAGCGAGAGCAGCGTTTTGAAAACCACCACCCCTTCCATCCGTGAGACACATGTGCGCGGCACCCAGGCAAGAACCAGATTTCAAAGACGGCCCGCCCTGCATCCTCGGAGCTGCTGCAAACTTCAACGACGAGTGTGCGCTGCGCTCAGGAGAGAACCACACTAAACAACACCTTCCAACTGAGAAACTGTTGAACATTTTAAGCTTCAAGAGTATACATGATATAATAATCTTCGGCGAAACGCCTGGCCCACCCTACCAACACTTCGGGGGGTGCGACAGGGATGAATTACTCACCAAGGAAGGATGTAGCAGGAGAGGATGATAAGGAGGAGAAGAAGAAGTGGGAAAAGGAGGAGGACGAGGAAGAGGAGGAGGAAGAAGAGGAGGAGGACGAGGAGGAGAGGAGGAGGGGAGGAGAAAGAGGAATAGGATGATGAGGAGCAGGAGGAGGAGGAGGAGGAGGAAGAGGAATAAGATGAGGAGGAAGAAGAGCTGAAAGAGGAGGAGGAGGAGGAGATGGAGAAGGAGAGGGATGACGAGGACGAAGAGGAGAATGAGGAAGAAGACTCAGAAGGAAAGAGGAAGAGGAGGAGGAGGACGACGAGGACGAGGACGGGGACGGAAACGACGCCGGGGTGGAGCCGTCACCGCGTGGCGACGGCGACCGAGAGCCTGTCCAGCCACGCGCCGATGCGGCCGGTGGCGAGGAGGAGATCCTCCCGCGCGGGGGCAGAGGAGCGGGAGGAGGGAGTGCAGTCAACCCGTACAGCAAGGATGCACGAGAAGGATGCAGGGGCCTCGGTCGCCCCTTTGAAAGCTCCTCGAGCGGGGCGCGGCCCGCGAGAGTGTCCAGGGATGAACCGAGGAGGCAAGGATGCAAGGGTACCCTTGGAAAGGCTGCCCATCCCTACTATGCGGGTTGACTGTACCCTGAATTCTTTGGGTTGCATTGTTTCGCGCCGGGAGGCTATGCATTGTTTCGGGCCCCAGGACCCTCATGGATCGATGTGGCTGGCAGAATGTCGCGAACAGATCGGGATCATGACTCTGGTCGAATTTCGAATTTTCCTTGTTGCGATGCTGCATGTTTCAGTGATGTCGGATCTCAGGGCTTGGACGGTACAGGCACGCATGACAGCATGGCGCTGCTGGATACCATGGCCACTGGCATACTACCTCGTGGCAGAGGAGGAGGGGGGACTCCGGCCCAGACCCCCTCAATCGGCGGTGGGCAAACCTCCCTTTAGTAAACCACCCTTTAGTGAAAACGGCCTAGGACCGAAACCGACGGACCTGGACCCGCAGAAATGACGGCCACGACGCCCTCTCGCGAATCAAAAACGGCCAATTCGCTAATCGACGCATCAAGGTAGGAGGTCTATCAACCTCCGACTCAAGTCGTCGGAAAGACACGGCGGGAGATTGCCCATGCTCTCTGCATCTGGGGGCCTTCGCTTGGCCCCCCTGGGCAATCCAAGCACGACGCAGGATGAAACAAGCCGGCCCCGGGAGTGGGTCGAGACCTCCAGGGGTCCACGTTTTGAAACAAAAAACAAGACGTCGAGTGTCTGAAAGCTCAGGAAGATCGACGGAGCAAGCAACTATGGCAATATATGACTCCGCTCCTGGCCTCTGGCATCGGGCACGCTACCTCGTGGCCAGGAAAGGTCAATCAAGAACCCGACACTCTGGGACCCAGGGAAGAGGGAGGAAGGCTGGGAGGAGAAGAAAGGGAAGGACGAGGAGATGGAGAAGAACTAGGAAGTGGAAAAGAAGATGAGAAGGGGGACAAGAAGCATCGAGTGCGGAGGAGGGGGAAAGGGGCGAATGGGAGGGAAGGGAGCGGGGGGGAAGGCGGAGGGAGGAGGAGAGAAGAGGGGAGGGGCCGGTAGGATTGGGCGGAGATGGGACCAAAGGGGGCGGGGGCGGAGGGCGGGAAGGAAGAGTTGGGGGAGGAGGAGGAGGAGGAGGAGGAGCAGGAGGAGGAGGAGAAGGAGGAGGAGAAGGAGTAGGAGGGGCAGGGGCAGGAGGAGGGATGGGGCAGGAGGACAGGATGGGGCAGGAGGGGCAGGGGCAGGAGGACAGGGATGGGGGAGGAGGGATGGGGGGGGAGAACACGACGAGAACCCAGATGTTTGTCATAACCATCCTGTGGTGTTAGGTCCTCGCTTTGAAGAAACAACGCCCCACGTCTCCTTCCCTCCCGCTGGCATCCCCCCTCCTCCACATCCATGCCTCTGCCCTCCGATTTCGGCGCACACCTCACACGTTTCGTGGCCCCATGGAGATTTCCACCTAAGGTGGACAAGAAAACAAACGACACCGCCCCACCTACGGCCCCACGGACCTTAGCACATCCTATCAAATTACGGCTTTGGCTTTCGCATGGTATACGCCACGGCGCCCGATGGGCCGTAGCGCAGCATTGAGGGCCGTAGGTAGGGTGGTGTCCTCTGTTTTTGGATCGATGAGGCTCCAAAGGCACCGTCCATATGTTGGCGTCACACCCCTCTCGGCACATCCCTCACTCGATTCGTGGCCTCAGAAAGAGCCGCACCGAAGGCCCCATGAGAACCGCTTACAAACGTGGGCGTGCCACCCGACTCGGTATAGCCCTCTCACGTTTCAAACTGATTACGCCAGACGCGCACAACCCCTTCTCCACGCGAGGCGGACATGTGCATGGGTGCCCCATACAAACGAACACATCGCCAAATATGCACGATCTGCGCTGCCCCCATCTCCGCCGTGCCTCCCGCGAACCTGCGAACGTGGCGACATCTGAGCACGTCGTAGCCTCCTGGGGAGCCGCGAGGTCTCGGCTGGATCCGCGTGCCCCCTTACTAGCGCCGTGCCTCACAGGAGCCCACGAATGGAACGAAAACTTGCTCCCCCAGGGAGCTGCGAAGTCCCGCCTGGCTCCGCGTGCCTCTCCACTCTGCTGTGCCCCACAAAAGTGGCGCCGGGTGCGCAGTTCGCGGCCACCCAGGGAGCTGCGAAGTCTCGACTGAGTGCGCGTGCTCCCCGACCACGCCGTGCCACCCGGGAGCCGACGAAAGTGGCGCAGCTGCGCAGTTCGCAGTCCTCCAAGGAACTACAACCTCTCGCCTGGGTCCGTTGACTCCACTACTCCGCCGTGCCTCCCAGGAGCCCACGGAAGTGGCGACGAGTGCGCAGTTCGCAGCCCCCCTAGAGAGCAGCGAGGTACCGCCTGGGTGCGCGTACTCCGCTACTCCACCGTGACTCCCAGGAGCCCACGAAAGTGGCGACTGAGATGCGCAATTCGCAGCCCCACCCAAGGAGCTGCGAGGTCCCGCCTGCGTCCGTTTACCCCGCTACTCCGCCGTGCCTCCAAGGAGCCCACGCAAGTGGTGACAATTGCAAAGTTCGCACCCCCCAGGGAGCAGCGATGTCACGCCTGGGTGCGCGTACTACGCTGCTCCATCGTGCCTCCCAGGAGCCCACCAGCGCCAATTGCGCAGTTCCCCCAAGGAGCCGCGACGTACGGGCTGGATCCGCTACTCCGCCGTGCCTCCCAGGAGCCCACGGAGGTGGCGACGGTTGCATAGTTCGCAGCCCCCGTGGGAACTGCGAGGTGCCGCCTGGATCCGAGTACTCCGCTACTCCGCGGTACCTCCCAGGAGCCCACGAACTTGGCGCCAGTTGCGCAGTTCGCGCAACCACCCACAAGGAGAAGCGAAGTCTCGGATGGGTCCGGTTACTCCGCTGCTCCGCCGTGCCTCCCAGGAGCCCGCAAAAGTGGCGACGGTTGTGGGAGCTGCGAGGTCGCGCCAGGGTCCGTTGACTCCGCTGCTCCGCCGTGCCTCCAAGGAGCCCACGACAGTGGCTCCTTGGAGGCACGGCGCAGGCGCCGAAAATTTTGGCTTGTTCAATGAACGTAGTTTGGGTCGCGGGTGGGTCGCGGGCTCTCCACCTCCAGCTGGAAGGAATTCACAAAAAAAGCCCGCCGCAGGCGCCGAAAATTTTGCTTTGTACACTGAACGCGGTTTGGGTCGCGGGTGGGTCGCAGGTTCTCCACCTGGAACGAATGCACAAGAAACCCGCCGCAAACGCCGAAAATTGTCAGGGGGTCGCGGGTTGGGTCGCGGGTGGGTCGCGGGTGGGTCGCGGGTGGGTCGCGGGTGGGTCGCGGGTGGGTCGCGGGGTGGGTCGCGGGTAAGTCTTGGGGTGGGTCGCCTGTGGGTCGCGGGTGCGTCGCCGATGCAAAAGAAACCCGCCGCAGGCGCCGAAGTTTTGGCTTGCTCAATGAACGTAGTTTGGGTCGCGGGTGGGTCGCGGGCTCTCCACCTCCAGCTGGAAGGAATTCACACAAAAAAACAGCCCGCCGCAGGCGCCGAAAATTTTGTTTTGTACACTGAACGCGGTTTGGGTCGCGGGTGGGTCGCAGGTTCTCCACCTGGAACGAATGCCAAAAAATCCCGCCGCAAGCGCCGAAAATTTTTGGTGGGTCGCGGGTGGGTCGCCGGGGGGGTCGCGGGTGGGTCGCGGCTGGTGGCGGGTGGGTCGCGGGTGGGTCGCGGGTGGGTCGCCGGGTGGGTCGCGGGTGGGTCGCGGGTGTGACGCCGGTAGGTCGCGGGTGTGTCGCCGGGGGGGTCCCGGGTTGGGTCGCGGGCGGGTCGCGGGGTGGGTCGCGGGTGGGTCGCGGGTGGGTCGCGGGTGGGTCGCGGGTGGGTCGCGGGGAGTGTCGCGGGTGGGTCGCGGGGTGGGTCGCGGGTGGGTCGCGGGTGGGTCGTGGGATTGGTCGCGGTTGGGTCTCGGGGCGGGTCGCGGGTGGGACGACGACAAGAACAAAACAAACAACAAACAACAAACAACTACAAGAATCCGCATCGCGGAAGTCCACTTCTGACACGCACCCAGGGACAGTGAGTGACCGGTCGGTTCAGCCCCCGCAATTGCGGATAAGAGTGAGGGGGCGGGCGCGGGCGACGCGGGCGTCGTCAAGCCGGCGGACCTCGTGGCCCCCACCTTCCCTGTCGATGGCGCTCTCCTCCTCCTCCTCCTCCTCCGCCTCCTCCTCCTCCTCTTCCTCGTCCTCGTCCTCGTCCTCATCGTCATCGTCGTCCTCCTCCTCCACCTCGTCCTTCTCCTCCTCCTCCTCTTCTTCCTCGTCCTCCCTCTCCCCCCCTCGTCCTTCCATCATCGTCCTCCCATTGTCGTCATGTTCCTCCTCATCGTCTCCTCTTCCCCCCCTCCCGATCCTCCCCCCTCCTCCTTTTCGTCGTCGTCGTAGACGTCGTCGTCGTCGTCGTCTTCTTCCTCCTCCTCCTCCTCCTCCTCCTCCTCTTCCTCCTCCTCCTCCTCCTCCTCCTCCTCCTCCTGCAAAAGCAGCCCGCCGCAGGCGCCGAAAAATTTGGTTTGTACACTGAACGTGGTTTGGGTCGCGGGTGGGCCGCGGATTCTCCACCGGGAACGAATGCAAAAGATGCCCGCCGCAGGCGCCGAAAAATTTGGTTTGTACCCTGAACGTGGTCGCGGGTGGGCCGCGGTCTCTCCACCTAGAACGAATGCAAAAGATGCCCGCCGCAGGCGCCGAAAAATGTGGTTTGTACTCTGAATGTGGTTTGGGTCGCGGGTTGGTCGCGGGGTGGGTCGCGGGCTCTTTACCTGGAAGGAATGCAAAAAAAGCCCGCCGCAGGCGCCGAAAATGTTGGTTTGTACCTTGAACGTGGTTTGGGTCGAAGGTGGGTCGCGG